GGACAACGAGTCTCCACTTCCTCCAATTGTAAAAATATAGAGCTAAATTATCCGGGATACGGCTGCGAACAACGAGTACTTCTCGTTGTCATTTGGAGCCAGAGTCAAAAGTGATTGTGGAGAGGAGCCGTGGTATCAAGGTCCTTCCGAAACCTGTGCTCCACAGATCTGGAGTCAGTCTCATTTTTTTAAGCATCAAACAAGTGACTCACACTAAACTCATTAGAAACATGAAAACCTGAACAAACTTCAGTGTGAAAATAACTACATAAAATGATAGAAAACATCTTTGAAATGTATTTTAGTTTGGTTTATGATATAAATATATATTGCAGCCACCCACCAGGGGGCAATAAAACATATTTGTACTCACTTCGAGAGAGCTTTCATGTTGTCCATCTTTATATAAAGTTTAATGCTGATCGCAAAAACCCATTAACAAATCCCACAGGCGTAACATGAGATGATAAACAACCCCACAGGACAAACAGTGGCAACATGGATGCAGTATGACAGATGAACAAGCAGTAAGATAAATGAACAAGGTAACTTACTCTTACTGCCAGTCGGAGAGAACCTATGACCACGGGTGCAGTTGGAGCAGGTTGACCATTCTGGTCCAGTGTTGTTGGAGTTCCCTGATCCGCCCATATGTTCACTATATGCTCTGTTGGACCTTCCTCAAGCGCTATGACACGGCCCTGGAAGCTGGGTTTCTCATAGAGAAGCCAGCTGAAGAGAGATGAGTAGAGGAAATTATTAATGTTACCATGTGAAGAGGTGAAGGGACAGTTTAATAGCTACATCACAGCTGTGGAGGCTCCAGAAAATACTGTACATGCTAATGGGAACATAGAGAAAGCATGGACTGGATTGGAGAACAAATGACAATCTCTTCTTAAACTAAGTTATGATATTTCCACAGTTAAGAACAAGAAAACATTTTCTCATATCGACATGAACCAGCAAGAAGACCCTTACCATCCTCTGATGACTCTGATTGAGATGACAGGGGACAGCTTCATTGTGGTGGCATCTTCTACATCACAGTAGAACTCCATCGCTTCACCTCCAAACTGAGCTTGTTCATGTACGACAATCTGGATCAGGAAATTGACAATTCATTACAACCATGGGTTGTGCAACCATTTTTATTCCAGTGCAAGAATGTCCTAAACATGTGTAAACGTTATTTAATCCTACCTTCCCAGGTCTTTTGTGGATTCCTCTTACTGCAGGTCTCTGCAGGAAATGTAACATTTCAATTATAAATTGTTGAATTCTGTGCTTTAAAAAATGATTTGGCAAAAAAAAAGACAAAATCAACCATTAAGAGTACAGTGTGTAGAGTTTTGTGATATCTCGTGTTGAAGTTGCATGTTGCAGCTGAACACCCCTCACCTCACCCTCCCCTTCCAAACATGAAAAATAACCTGTGGTAACTTCAATTGTTATAAAAACTCAAAAGGTGTTTAGTTTGTCCAGTCTGGACTCATGTAAAAAACATGTCAGCCTCCGTGGAGAGGACCCTCTGTTTGCTTTTTTCTGTGTTATTTTTGACACTGCTTGTATTTATATATATATAAATCTTTTTTAATTTAATTTGCTGCCTATTTTGACTTTCTGGTTAAATAAAGGTCAAATAAATAAAAACAAAACAAACCCAAAAAATATCTACTACTATTAGATAAATGTTGTGGACCCCGCTGCTTGTTTTCATGCACTGTAAAGCACAGCACAATTCAGGTGATACAGCTGAGTTTCTTTTAAAATAATCAAATCAGGGATAATTTTTTTATCTGTTGAGCTACTGTACATCCTTCCACATGAATATCATCTACAGAACTACCCCTGGAGTACAAGAACAAGGTAACATATACATTTTGATTGGAAGAAGCCAAAGCGAAAGAGAAATACACTTTTGTGTATTGTAGTGTACATTGTGATCATCTAAAACAAACAAATGTGTTTTTGCATAGTTGCACTCCATTTGCATTTCAATGCAAATATCTGATCATGATGTGACAGTGGATCTTTAGATGAGCAGATCTTAGCAAAGTTTTCCAAAGCAGAATTCCAGATTGAGGACATGTGCCTTTTCTCGTGTCCTCACTTGCAAATGATTCATGACTTAGTTGCAACTTCATGACAAAACAAAAAGAACAGGATATGAAACTAGGCCACATATCACCATGGAAATAAACCAGGAAATGCTTTGTTTAAAAAGCCTAGCAAGTTAAAACCCATTCCATTTCAAATATTCAAATACTTGCCTTAGCCTTAGTCCTTGGAAGTATATTTTGTGAAGTCTGCTGGCTGTAGTTGGTGGTTGAAGGCAGTGCAGCGGGGCCCCTCAGGCCCACATCCACATTAGGAGCTCCTGATATCAAGGCCTGGTCCATAACAGCACCCCCCTCAGGACTCGGTGTCGTTTTAGTAGTTTGCGTGGAGCCCTGGGAGGCCTCAGGTTCTCGTTTGTTCATCTTGAGGTATTTATCTAAATGATCGGGCAGCTTTATCTCCGAGAACGTGGGCAGAGGAGGAGAGGAGGGGCTTAGCGCTGACTCATTAATTGTACCATTACCACCACCACCCACAAGTGAGCCTTGATCTCCACTCTTCACACCCTCCTTATCTGCTCTGACACGAGAGAGAGGTGAATCAACACCGTGCCTTCCAGGAGCGGCCAGGTCTTGTTCCTGCTTGGATGAAAATGAGCCATTTGAGGCAAAGGGTGTTTCCTCTTTGGTTTTCCTGGAGGAGCTCATTAGGCTTGAGAGGATCGACATCCTTTCAAGCCTTGACGTTAGCTTCCCAGGCTCCTCTCCGATGCTTTGCAATTCTTCTTTTCTTGCTTCTGCTTTGGACACCTCTTTGACTCCATCTTTTTCTACCACCTCATCCAGTGAATTATTTTTTTCTCCGGGTGAAGACAGGGCATTTTCTTGTCCACGTTTTTCCAGGGAACGTCCTTTCCTGTTGGCTGCATATTGTTTTATTATCATAGCTGGTGAAGGATCCCTGGAAATTTTGCCATTTTTCCTTAAGCCAAACTGGAATTCCTCAGGATTGAATGTTCTCTCAAAATTATCCTCCTTAATGGCCGGCATGGCAAAAGGTGGCGATGGGGACTTTTTACGGATGTGCCTCTTTGGAGGTAGTGAGAAAGGAATTCCACCTTTCTTAATGCTGCTGATAAACTCATCAACGTCATCATGCTCAGTTGATTCATCTTCACTGGCGGATGCATTTAGTCTTTTTTTGTGTTCCTTCTTCTGTTTTTGATGATGTTCCACATCCAACCAGCTTGATGGAGATTCATTCTTTAGCTGATGACTTTGAGATGGAGTTTTTGACGAACTACTGTTGAGCGTCAGCTTTGTTGGTTTTTGTGGATCAGCGAGGTTCAGTTTGTTCTCCTCTCTTAAAGTCTGGAATTCATGTTTCTTTTCTTTAATTCCTTCATCATTCTTCTGAGCATCAGTACTTATGAGTATTTTATCTGAGACAACAACGGACTTATCCTTTTCTTCTCCATAAACTGTTTTGCTAGCTGCATCTTTTACAAAAATGGGTTCTGCCTTTTGCTTGACTTCTGTCTTTGCTGTGTTTATCGGCTGATCCACTTTCTTTGTCACTTCATTTTCATCTTGAAGACGTTCTTTAATAAGGCTTTTCTGTTCCTGTATCTTGTCACTCTTACTAACGACTGTTGAAACATTTGATGTTGACTCTGTTGATACTTTGGTCACAGTCTTTGGTTCCTGTTCTTGACTTCCATGTAGAACCTTGGAGTCTGTGGACTGATCAATCTTTTTCTCTGGTTTCTTAATCTCTGCATGTTCATCTGGAACAACTGAGGGCTTCTGGTCTTCTTGGTTTCTAACTTCAGAGTCAACATTCATATTCACAACCTCTTTCACCAAACTCTTTGTTGAGGGATCCTTTGTTTCAGTCTTTTCTTGTGCTTCCTCAGCAAGCTGAGTTTTTTTGCTTTCTACCTCCTGTTCCTTAATTTGAGTTTCTGATCGCTTCTCTGTTCTTACCATTTCTGGTTCCTGTTGGTTGCTTTGGTTAGAGGGTGGAACTTTGGGTTCTGTTGTTTTCCTTTTCTCTGCTTGGTCCTTAGTTCCCTCTGACTCCTGATCTACCGTTGGAACTTTGGATTCTGTTGATTTGTTTTTGTCTTGTTTACTGACATCCTTAATGTCTCCAACGACTATGGACTTCTGGTCTTGTTGGACGCAAACATCAATGCTAGCAGTCACAACTGCAGTCTCATTCACCAAAGTCTTTACTGATGAAGTCTTTGTTTCAGTCTTTTCATCAGAGTTTTTATCAATCTGATCTTTAGTGCTCACTGTTAACAGTTCTTGGGTTGCATCCAAACTATGGCTTTTTGTTGTTGTCTTCTCTGGAACTTTTTTTGCCTCCGGTTTCTGTTCTGCTGATCTATTAGCATCTTTATCTTGGTCTCTAGCAGCTACCACCTTTACTTCAGATTCAACAGTCCCATTTAAACTCTTCTCTTTTTTATCATCTGCACCATCCTGCATTTCAGTGCTTACACCTTTCATTTCTGGAGTTTGGCTTTCCTTTACATCATTTGCATGTTTGTCCTCCTCATTTGTGTTGTTGTCCTCTTTGGTTACAAGTACTTTATGCTCCTGTTCAGTTTTCACTGTTGATGCCATCATCTCCTTCTCTGCTCGCTGGGGTTCCTCGCTGCCACTCTCTGCATTTTCGGTCTTTAAGATCTCACGTTCATGATTTGTAACGACCACAATTGGTGTAGCTTCATTAATTAAACCTCCTCCTTGCTCTGCCTCTGTCCTCTTCTCTTCCAGGGCATCTGTAATTACTTGGTGTCCCTCCTTTGAGTCGGGCTGTGAACATTTCTGCTCGGATGATAGATCATACGGCTTCTCTGGTTTTGTAAAATCTTTCTCAGCTTCGTCCCTGATGGCACTGCCCTTGAGCTCCTCTTTGCGACTGCTCTGTGAGACAGTGCTTTCCACTGCTGCGTCATTCAGTTTAGATTCTTTCGTCTGTCTTTCAAACTTTCCTGCCAGTAAAAGAGGCTCTTTGTCCAGCATATTTTCAACATTCTTGGGTAACTCACAAACAGTCACAGCCTCTGTTTGAATGTCCGAAGCCTTGGGTGTTTTCTTGCCAAGCTCCTCTTTACTTTTCTCCTCCACCTCAACATTTTTCGCGGACTCTTGGTCTGCTGTGGATCGTTGTCTGTCAATTTCAGGAATCACATTTGTGGTTTGATCTTTAAATAACTTGTTTTCCTTTTGCTGCTCTGTATTTTTCATTTTAGCATCAACAACATCGTCCTTTGGCTCAGCATCTTGCATGGCCGATTTAGCAGGAAGACTATTTGTGGGATCAGTTACCGCTTTAAGGGAAACATTATGAGCGTCCACATCGTCCACATCAGAGTGGGTCATTATGTCACAGTGTTTGCTGTCACCCACAACAGGTTCAGCTGAGGTATCAGTTACATGTTCATGAACTGGTTTTGTGTCCTGAGCCACCACTGCAGGCTGTGGCTCTTTATCCTGAATTAAATCTGGTGTTACGTTACTTATTATCTGGGTTGTCTCTAATATGTCTACTTCTCCTTGGGAACATACTAGTAATCGCTGTGTTTGCTGTTCCTGTGTGGTGTTATCACTTTGTATGTGAGGTGCATTTTCAGCTGAATTCTCAATTTTTACTTCTGCCTCAGCGTTGTTTACATCAGTGACTGGTAAAGGAGCTGGAGTTACTTTAACGGCCTCACTGCTAGACAATAACGTAGATACTAACTCTGTTTCTTGTTTAAAGTCTACCTGAGCATTTGCTGTGATAATCGCATCATTCTTTTGTATTGGCTGGATTTCTGAAATCTCTTTGATTGCAACACTCTCGAATTTGCTTGTCTCTTTTACTTCCTTTCCAAACGCAAAGGTACTCGACTGCGTGTCTGAGGATTTCCCCTGTTCTTCTTCTTCTGTAGACACACATTCAAATTTAAATCTGTCATCACTGTTACCGTCCTTCTCTGCTAAGACACTGTCAGATCCTTTCTCTTGGGAATCTTGAGTTTTGCCAACTTTTATTTTGTTTGAGCCTTTCAGACCCAGTGTAGGAAGTTTGCTCCCAGATATGAGGGGATCAGCCGAATCCTTCACGAGACTCTTTTGTTGTTGTTTGATGTTTTCGCTGTGTTTGGAAAGCCTTGATGTGGGCGGTGGGGAGGCATGTGAGGTGGTCGTGCCTTCCTCTTCATGGCTTATGTTTCCTTTAGAAAGGTGTTTGGATGGTCTTGTTGATGACGTGCCTCCTGTTTGAAACACATACACACACCGTTTTAATGCAACAGACAAAAACATGCAAAAATGCTGTAAAGGAACAGTTCAACAATTTGGCTGGGCACAGTTTTTACAGAGTTCAGAAACTGATAACCAGCTCAGTTATCAAACTAAAAAATAAGAAAGTTCTATAGCATTCCTTCTCTGGATGTATTTGTTTTTCAAAGGGTTAGCATACAACAATGATAGCAACCATCACTTTCATACAGGGTTAGTAGCATAGAGCTGTTCAAACATTCTATGTAAAAGTAATCACAGATTTTTCTTTATATGTATATTTTTCTCTTATTCCATCTTCCGTAGTTTCATTTTTATTTTTACTGTCACATCTTTATTTATTTCATTGTCTGCAGATTTACTTTTGTGATGTGTGCAATGTGCAGTATTTTATATTGTCAATCAATAAGGGGTGAATAGTATTGTAAAATGTCTAAACTGTGGACAGAGCCAGGCGATTATTTTCCTCTTATTTCCACTTTTTAAGAGAAACTGTTTGAATCTTCTTTTTTTTCCTGAACAATGTTTAATCCTCGATTTGAAGTGTTTCTACAAAGCTGAATTTTTTTCACTTTCAACAGCAGAGCTAAAATGATTTAATTATGTGACGATGTGATTTTGCAGTTTTACCTTTTGTGGGACTTTCAGGTAGAGGTGAAGGTGTGTCACTTCCAGCTCTCTCTCCATCAGGTACTTTCTGACCAGATGAATTATTTTTGTGGCCGGTGGTGGCGGTTTGTGTTACATCATCATTATTCTTTCTTGTTGGAGATGAAATTGGTAACCGGCTCTTTGATGACAAGGAGGCATTATTTTCCAGATGGTTCTGCGGTTGTTTTTTAACATCCAGGCTTTCCCTTTCAGGTGTTTTAACACTTCTCTCTCTATATTCGCTCTCCACACCATTTACCAGATTAATGTCATCCTCTGACTTCTCTTTAATAATCTTAGTTCCTGTCTTGAGTGTGTTTTTTGTTGGAGAAATGTCTCTCGCGTCAGATTTTCCTCCCTTAGCTTCCTCAAAACTTGGTTTCCTGCCGGCTTTGGTTGGACTGATAGAAGATTTTGAAGATTCTTTGGTTCTAGTTTGCTTTTGTAGTTTGGATGTGACTGCTGAGGCATCAGCCACTGAGGTTTTATCTAGTGTCACTGGTGATTTCACATCAGCATCTGATGTTGACCTTTTCGGGATTTTAGACTTTGAGGTCTCTGTGCTTGAGGAACCATTAGTGCTTTGGTCTTTCAATGTTGGTAACATAGAAGCTGTTTTCTCAGTGCTGTGTTCTCTTGGTAGTGGAATATCACCGGACGTTCCCACTTTGGTTCCCTCTGTGGAGCCCTTGGCCTTTGTTGTGACATTTTTGGCCTTGCTTCCAGCTACAGAGGATGGGGTCTTTGCTCCACTTGCTGTGGTATGTCGACTTTCTGTCGCTGCTTTAGGCCCTCGTTTGGAGGGTGTAGCCTGATTTGTCTCTTTGCCTCTTATCCCAGACCCTGATACTTGTGACTTTGCTTTGTACATGTCTGAGGGAGCAGAGGTGTCATCAATGTTGGACGCAGAGTCTGCTTTTTCTTCACCTAGAAGTTCAGGAGTGTTTGTGTCAGCGAGCGCCGTCTCATCTGTTGTCGTGAATGGCTCATGGTCGGCTTCATGGATCTCTGCATGGTCGTTGTTTTGGAGACTTGGCACTCTGTCGGGGGAGAGGGAGACAATTTAATAGATATATTAATGTGCAACTTCACACAAGTTTTGTCTCAAGTGCCTCTCCCACGAAATTCAAGAAACCTCCCAAAACCACCCACCCACACACAACATACCAATTTGCTTGCAAAAGCAAAGAGATCTAGGTTGTCTAGCAGAAAATTTGGTGATAATTGTGATATTAAAAGCAGCATTAATGTATTTTATCGAATAACAATCATATCATTTAGAGCTCAAAAAACATATTTGAGTGTGCATCTCTCTAAAAAGATCTTAGCCAGTCTTTAAAACATACAAACAGTCTTTTAAAAGGAAGCATGTACTTGAGTAGAACTTTAAGGTACTGTACTTGAGTATTTCCATTTTAATACTACATACTCAATTACATACCGAAAAAAACACATGAAACATATGGTATGCACAGTAAGCACAGTGCAGTTACTTTTGATACTTGAAGTACATTACTTTTATATATATATATTTATAACATTTTTCAAAATGCATTAGATTTATGGTTTAATGTTGCTACTTTGATGTAAGTGGCTAATTTGCTTTCTAGCAGAGTTAAATGACAAACTTGATAAGAACAATGTGATTGTTTGAATTAGGACTGGACAAAATGGAAAAACAAATGTGTTATATTTATTTTAACTCCCAGGTAGGTAATGTTTGTGGCCTGTTACCTACCTGGGAGGTAAAATAAATAACTTTGGGAGCATCAACTGGTTTGCAGACATTTTCCCTTATCTAATTTTTGTCACCTCTGCCCAGCACCTGGTGTTTATCAAGTTTCAGATGCACATGCTTCTGTATACATCTGTTTTTTTAAACTTGAGACTGGTTATTTTATTTCAGAGGCAGAAAAGGAACTTGTCAGAGAGAAACAGTTAAACTTTAGCCGTGCTGAAGTTTAAACTTTACAACCCTGCGGTAGCTCTGAAACCATAAATTAGTCCCAGTATTCAGGAATGTACCAGGCATGCATGGTCATCTTTATTCTGGAATACACAGTAACTCAAAGTTTTACGAGGCAGTACCATGGTCACCCCATTACTCATTATTTATTCCTTTCAGGAGTGTATCTGTGTATTTGCCATGCTTTCATCTAACTGCAATGTGTAATCTTGAAGTCAAACAAATGGGTGCAGGCTGAACTCACCAGTTGCCTGTCAAGTTCTGTAATGACCAACTCATTCAGGTAGTGAATATACACCAAAGGTAAACACAGCAAAGATGATCTTCTCTACTGCATTTGTTTCGTAAGGAATTACTTTTGAAGTATTTTTAAGCAGTACATTATAGAATCGCTGTCTTTGTATGATTAGATGGGCTGTGTATAAATATTTCAGTGCCTAAGCGCTGGTTAAGCTTGTTTTTTTCTCCTCTGGTACAATGGAGCATGGGAACTCAGAGCTCAGGTTGCACATCAGCTCAGCTGTCTTTACCTCCCCTGCTTCCCGTTTCTCCCAGGATCAAAGAGGCTTTTACACAATAACGGCAGAAAGATATAAAAGAAACTCACAGTTTGACTTCTGTTGTATCTAAGTCCTTTGAAGCTGAATCTCTGATGCACTCCTCTCCCGTCGGTTTGTTCTCCTCCAAACCCGGCTCTTGGCTAATGTTCACCTTCTCAACAGAAACCTTGTTCTTCGAAGGCAGATTCACAGTTTTGCGTGTGATGCGAACCTCTCTGGACCTGCGCCTCTCCTGGAGGGAACTTTTCTTTGAGTCTGTACCGGCGTCAGGCTCCTCTGGCTGCGGTGAGCTTGTTTGGAACTCCCCTTCTGAGGAAATGGCAGGTTCTGGCAGGCTGCCACTGGGCGGCAACGTCTCTGAGGGACTGTCTGCAGCGTCCTGAGTGATGGAGTCGTCCTCAGGTATTACCGTGACAGGTATGGCCAAGACAGGGGGCGAGTCTGCTCTGAAGCCCTCCTCTCTTTCTGTCATTACATCCCTCTCATTCTCCCCCTCCCTCTCCACTTCCTCCTCTTCTCCCAGGTGTGTTTCAACCCAGATGGCTTTGTGGAGTAGGACAGGAGAATCCCTTCTGGCAATTTCCCTGCTCTCACATGAGGGGCCCCATGTCATAGGTGTAGTTTCCCCAGAAAATATCTGACCCTTCCTCTTGTCTCTGGACTTTTCCTTCCCTTTGTCTCCAGATTTTCCGTCTTCCTGTGAGGGGGAAGACTGAGAGCCTAATCGTATTCCTGTTATGGCAGTGCTGTGCCCCCTCTCTCCAACTTTCACAGAGCTTTTCTTTGATGCTAAGCTTATAGAGGTTAAGTTAGGTGACTTTGGACCCTCAGCTGTTTTGGAAAGTGTGGTTTTAAATGGCATCCGTGTGGCCGGTCTAACTGTACTGTCCTGGCTGGAAGCCTCTGTCAGGACTCGTTCTTCTAAATTAACCTGCAGCTTCTTGTTTACTTCCTCCACCACTGACTCAGCAAACCCTATTTCTGGGCCTGAATCAGCACGTGGATGGGTGGTAGCAGCAAGTTCCCGAGTGGCAGGAGTCACATTCCCAGAATTCCTTTCACCGCTGGCTTTGCTGATCCTGCACACAGAAGTCTCCCTCACACTGCTGCGACCACCGCTGTTACTGTCAGCGAATGGGAGATCTGCATCTGTCAACAGAGAGACTGTGCTTGAGGCGCTGGGACTGGAACATTTGCTGCGGGCATCGCCCCGCTCTGCTCCCATCTTGGCCTCGCCATAAAGGGTCAGCTCGCTGGCTTTTCGAGAAGGGGTTGGAGTCTTTTGCCCATCCTCCTCCTCCTCAGACTGCGTTGAACGTGGAGACAATGGGGATGATGGGGAGCGTGCATCATTGGATCCATCTGAATGCAGCCTGCTACTGCTCTTCTTTCTCTTCGAGTTGAAGAAGTTGCTGAGGCGATCGAAAACTCCTCGCTTCTCCTCCGAATTCTGAAAGAGTACAGACAAGAAACAGACAGAAAGACAAATGTTGAGGTGGGGAGAGAGAAGCAAGCCCATCAGTTTTTCTCTGGTTTGAATATTAAGGGAAACATTTTAATGAAAACTCCAAATACACTCTTGAGCTGATAGAAAACCAAAGAGCTTATGAGACAAAAAGACCTAATTTAATTCACCACACATTTCCCAGAAACTGCACATAAAATATGGACTACAATATTTGTAAGAAATATCCAGGACAGAGGCGATTTACACAATCTTGAATCCAGAGTGAATTCACATACCTGTGCCTTCATATTCAATTAGAGCGCGATACATATTCTCTTTTTAGAAAAAGAGGAAAAAAGTATGTATGTGTTCATGCTGAGACTGCAAATTGTGCAGTCAACAGACCAATGGTCAAATTTACTAAAGTTAGGGGAGGCATGAAACTAGCCATGTCCTAAAAATGTTAATGTCTCATCAACCTATATTGCAAGTAGCTTTCTGATGATGAGTGGGTTATTGCAGCCGCTAATGTCTGTGTTATGGTTTTAAAAGTACATTTGGTGTGTATGCTGCGTAGTTTCTGTTTGATCTATCTGTTTGTTCTTTGTTTTTTTCTTTTTTCTCCCTCAGCTTTTATTGGGTAAATAAGGGTTGTACACAAAACCTTTTCCCTGGATAATAATGTCCTGTCAACAGAACTGAGACAATAAAGGGGCAGAGAGCAACGGATGAATGCAGATGTGAAGATGTGTATGTTGGTTGAAGAGTCCGAACACATGCATGGATGAAAGTAAAGCTGAAGGAGGTTGGAATATTAGGAGGTAAGAGACATGGAAGTTTTTTGTCTGAACCTGACCCGAGCCTGATGTTTTCCCGGATTACAAGCATGTGCAGTGCAAAAAATAAATAGAAGTAGATAGCCAAGCCAAAGTTAACTAACCTGACTCGAATTTCAATATCATCTGGTCGGGTACCTGACATGTGGCTGTATATGACAAAAAATGGTTTCTGAATTGTGCCTAAACCTATGTAACAGATGAAGTATGCAAGAAATGAAAGTGACAGTGGGAATCACCAAAAGTGCATAAAAGTTGTCAGGTTACTGTTTTTTCAAGTTGACATTAAAAAGGTTCAGCATATATTAAAAAAGTATCATCATAAACTACTTTTCTTTAAGATTCTATTTTCTAATACTTACGAGTCTCAAGAGTTTGGTGACATCCAGAACCCACGTGCCAATAACAACATGCACCAATTACATAGATAAAAACCTTTTATTGTTTAGCTCAAGGGTCACTCACCAACGCTACTAACTGCACAAAAACAAATTAGGTGGAACAAGTAGGGTACAGTGTTAAAAGACAGCTGCTGTCAAATATAAACCACGTCTCATTGTTTCTGTGAAATATATGAAACAGGATTTACATCACAGCAAAGAAGCCCTGACACGCAGGAAAAAATATTGTGCCGCCATAACACACCTTAAAAAACCTGGCACAACAGAACAACAGTAACAAGAGCACAAGTTAAGACAAGAAGGACGAATCACACTATGAAAAAAAACTATTAGAAACCACATTTAAACAAACATCAGTTACATACCATGTGGACTTCCTGGAGTCTAGCTTGTTGAATTCCTGAGGAGCTAGTGTCTGACTAATGGTTAAAGTGTAAAAATCGCAGAAGAAGTTATAGAAGACATATAATGATCCTTAGAATGATCCTTAAACTAGGACGTCACAAATGTGCTTGTAAAGTTAAATATAAAAGCTAATTGTTGATGTGAATTGCATGAAAAAAGACTGAAATGATCAGTCCTCCCTCCTGGGGAGTTTCTCCAGAGTGTCCCAGCTCTGAACAAAGTGCCTGACTTGAGGGCATGGTCATTTGCATCAAAGCAACAGAGCGGAGAGAGAAAAAAACATTGTGAAACGAGGATCACATGGCAAACAAGCCCAAAGAAATTCACTCAATCCAGTAAAACTGAAAGGGTGTGGAGAGGAGTGCTGGAGACAACCCCACCCTTCTACATTCAGCGACTGGGAAAATCAATAGGACGTCTGTTATCTACTGTGGCTCTTAGAAGAATTCAACTTGTTTCATTTAGATACGAGGAGTACAGTGACACGGCTCAAAGGTTTTGTGCTGTAAGAGTAAGTAAATACATTTGAAGACGAATCAACAGTTGCACGGGTTAAACCTGAGTAGCCCCAGGGTGCTTTCTGGGCTGAAATGTATCTGTTATACAAAACAGTCCCTATACTCTCCAGTGTTGTCAAACATTCACGTAATTTCACTGAGCAAACAGCAGGTGCAGGTCTGTAGCCGGGTTTTCCAGTTCATGTCTAAACAGAGTGAAATACACCAAAACCAAACCGATAGTCCTCGCTTGGATCTAGTATCATGTAGTCAAAGCTGTGACACTGTACCTGGCTGTTTTGACTCATTCACAAATCCACCGAGCTGAAGGGAAGAGGACTTTAAATAAATACAATATCCTGTGTCTTGAATAGCCACTTGTCGGCCCTCACTGCAAGGCTACCACAGTAGAACAGCTCTCCACCGAGGTGTATTTACTCATAGCAATGACAAATGTCAGGTAGGTGGAGATAACGCACTGAATCTGTGAGCACGCTCACTTCCTTATCTGTCATCCAAAGCTCTGCTCTGCATTCTCTGATATCAGCAGCAGGTAAAAACACAGAGCAACAATGATGTTGTGATAATGACTAACACTGCAGGGCACTGGGGTCTGAAAGGCTGCGCTACACAATGTGCACAAAATGAGTTTACAGTGACTTTTTTAAATCTTACATAATGAGTTGATACCATCAGTCAATATCAGTAATTATCACAATAAATGTTCCATCTTTTTTTTAAGTTAAAAGATTTTTTGCTCTTGAGTGAAGGTCGTGGTTTGAAACTCTTTTTTAAAAGCAAATGGTAAATGCCCTGTAATTTATACAATGCCTTTCTAGTCCTGATGACCACTCAAAGTGCTTTACAGTCCAGTTTTACATTCACACATTCATTCATACAGTGCATCTATGTGCTTTCTCTATGAGAAGGGGGCATTTGCGGTTCAGTATCTTGCCCAAGGACACTTAGGCCCTATTGTAAACGTAATGTAAGTAAAATAAATATCGAGGTGAGCAAGTTTGAGCGCTTAAGAAAAGTGAAAAATGATTATCTGAGCTTCATACTTGGGTAGGTAATTAAAATATAAACCTGTCCACTGAACGCTGCCACACATTGTTTTACCTGTGACATGCTTTTTGCATTTGTTGAGTCGTTGCTTGTGTATCCTATAAAAGGTGGATAATGCTCTTACACTCTCGGTCAGCAGACTACATGAGAATCAACAATGCTGACATCAGGTAAAAGAATTTCTTCATTTTTCTACAGATATGCAACAAAAGACTTTCTGGATTTATTAAATTGAGTAATTCATGGTATTTATGATTGGATAATAATACAGAGTGTCTTCTTCCATTTGTTAATCAAACTATAAAAGTACCAAGTAAAAATGATATATGATATTATTGAAGTAAATATATCTTAAAGTATTCTCTGTCATGTCAAATCTTGATCAGTGCATCACATTTTTCAAATGTTCTGATGCTAAATCTTGCAACAGAAAAGTTACTATAGCAACAAGGGCTATTGGATAAACACAGTGGAGTAAAAAGTACAAGTTTTGCCTCTGGAAACAAATACAAGTAAAAAATTCAAGTACTTCTCTGTAACATCTTCACTTTTCATTTCAACTATGATAAATCAGGAGAAAATATGTGTAAAACCAACCTTGAAGAATCTGGAGGGTGAAATCTGGCTGTTTGGCTGAGTCATGTCAAAGCTGATCATGGAGGTGGACTCACACTGAGGGTCCCAGTCCGCCTCAGAGCGGAAACTGCACTCTGTGGAAACGCTCATCTGGTCGAAGCTCCTGGAAGAGGGAGGCAGGAAACACAGAGGGGGAGAAGTGGGGAGAGGGAAAGAGAGGATGTTATGTCATCAGTTATTGTTCCTCTTCTTAATGTATAACGCTCATGTTTTTATTATGTATTCATCAGACAAGCTGTCACTAAAACTTTTTGGATTTCTATTTACAGTTCCTGATTAAAAATATAAGATATGACAATAAAGTCAAATAATACGAGCACATGATAGCTGCAGCATAAGTTCTTGTGCTGGTTTATAATGAGCCGTCTCAAGTCTAAACATAAAAATAAAACCTCAGACCCAACCCTTACTCAGCTTTTGCAGAGACAAGTTAGAGCTCTGCAGTGTTGACACCTCTGATTGTTCTTCAGCATAATTGTTGCGTGGAGTTGGAAAAACACACACAGGCCGACAATATGACACCTGAGAGAGAACGCCGAGCCATGCACACCGACCAATTAGAGGGCAGCCGAGGATTCTAGAACACATGTGTGGCATGAGGAGGTGGGAGGAGTGGCGTTTTTTTCTCCTGCTGCCAAACATAGTACGTTGCTTCAAAGCATCAACAGACGTATCACACCCAGTCTGGACCCGAACAATCTCCTCCTGCACAGCGTGTAGTGCTGTACAATGACAGACGGCATTCCAAACTGTCTGAACCATAGATGGACGGCTGTGCTGTGGCTAAGAGGTAGTGTCATGTCATGTGACTTGAGGTGCTGCTGTCAATACAGTACACAAAACAAGGTCTGTGATGTTTTCCTCAAGATGTCAGCATTTCACTCTGCAGCTGTGGTAGAACAGAACTTTAACCTACACCAGGATGTGAAGACATAGGTGAATTATGAAAGTATATTCTTTGCATGTGTGTCTGTAATCTTACATAACCAGACCAGGACACAGGCCTGTGCAGTACTGTGTTTACCCACAAGGGGCCAGAGTTGTATTAATTTTCCAGTTGGCATGAATTAGGCTATAAGTCTTTGTTAGAAAGTAAAACTACTTCAGTTATATAGCTGGTGTGCAGACAGAGAAACATTTTGTGACTGACATAGAGATGAACATCCAGCCGTCTCCTAGCAGTGGCTGGGTGATACAAATACAGAAGTGTCAGTAATTAATGTCCAGTAGTAAACACTGGATTAGATCCAGGAGTTATTATCTGCTTCTAAACTGTGCACACACATATCACTGCAGCATTAAGACAAACAGGGCTCATCCATCATGTTTACATTCTTCGTGCAGGCTGACCTGTAGGATGAATCCACCACACCTCACCTAACATGAACCTTGAGCACCTTAACATAATGCTTGGTAAAACAGGTCGATCATCTGACTGTGCAGAATGCTGTACGTATCAAAAACAAATCTGCATGTGAACTAACACAGACAAAGCAATGTTTCTCTTGTGCTATTTGTCGTATTAAACTCTTTTTAATTGATTTCATTTGTTTATATATTTGATCGGGACAGTGCTCATTAATCAACAGACAAAATACTGTCAATGAGCCAGAGTTAGCTGTGTAAGCTCATGTTCATCTGTGAATAATATATGAGCATTATTCATACCATTCAACTGTACAACAAAACCATGATTAAAATAATTAAAAAATGAAACAATACAATGCAACAGTCACACAACACGAAGCTACAAATATGCAATTAAACTAAATCATATAAGATAAAATAGAATAATGACACATTATGAACAGTTTGGTATGTTTTAAAGGTTCAGTGTGTAGAATTTAGTGATATCTAGTGTTGAAGTTACATGTTGCAGCTGAACACCCCTCACCTCACCCTCCCCTTCCAAACATGAAAAATATCCTGTGGAAGCTTCAGTTGTCATAAAAACTCAAAAGGTGTTTAGTTTGTCCAGTCTGGACTAATGTAAAAAACATGTGTGTGTGTGTGTGTCTGCTCGTCTCTTAGTGGATGGTGTGGGATCATGAATCCTGATCATTCTGTTCACTGTAGCCCTGACGTCATTTTTTCCAATGTGTTTAAATACATGTCTCATAAACTGTTGAGCGAATCAAACACACATGAAATAAACTTTCCTGAACGTGTACCAATAACTTCTGGTTAGTGTTGGTTTTTATTGTTAACGCGTAAACTGACCACGGGTCAGCGGGGGAATAAGGAGAGAGGAGGACATGCAGCACAGTGATACAGCCCAGAACCTAGTGGAAACCTGACTGTTCGTTGTTGTGTGCCTTGGGTAAAGTATTAACCAAATTAATAGTCATGAGCAAAATTAAGTGAGTTAGAGGTTACAGTCAGAGAGCGTCACAGGTGAAGGACAGACAGAAGTGCGTGTTTAAGATAAATGGTGAGGTGTATCCATGTTATAAGTAATGGTACTTAAAAAAAATATCCGAGATATAGGGAGCTACAATGACAATTATATTTTTTCTAATAATGGTAGTGCATGTGAGTATGCATATTGTATATATAAGCAATTTATTGAAATGTGCAACATAAATGAACTTGACTTGACTAAGGAGGAACAGGGAGGATGTCATTTCCATATATTACCCTCAAGAAGCGAGCAAGGACGTGTTGTCTTCAATCAATCAAACATGGAAATATAGGGATAAAAATTGAATCTGCGTCCGTTCATGCTCAAACGTGTATGTGGAGAGTGAACCTGCCAATGCTTTTCTTTCACACTGGGTTTGTCCATGATCGCGCTGCACTTTGCCTTCTAAGCATTTCAATTTTAAGTAAACCTTGAAGTAAATGTCAATACAAAAGAAAAGAAATGAATACAAACACTTCACGATGTGAGTCAGTGCTGGGTTTTAGGGTTGGGTAGCTTTGAATTCAGTGGAAGCTGAGTGAGAGGGGAAAAAGTGACCAATGCCTTCTGCAACTTTTGACCCCAACAGAGCCCTTAGGCTGAATTTCAAGAGTTTGAATGTCTGGAAGCACATAGGGTTACAGCTTAGCCATCTTCTAAGAAAGTTAATTGTAAGAGGAAAATGCAACCTATGCATCTGTGTCAAAAAGGAACAAAGGAAAAAACCCTGACCTTGTTTAAGAAAAGTTGCAGAATCACATTGAGTGAAATCCGTCTCCCCCACAATGTCACCGTGCAGGAACAAACCAGCTCTGACTTGTCTGAAGATTCTGTTTGTTGCACAAAGACAAAAGCTTTGCTGTTGAGAGCACACCATTTATGAGACCTTAATGACGAATATTTGCTGTCAGGTCTTCAAGGCACAATAGCAAAGTGTAGGACAGTCGATTTGCTCACTGTGGCTGGCCTGTTATCTAACCCCATACACAGGCAGCTAGTTAACAACCAATTTCAGCCCAGGAATGATAGATAAAGGTTGTTTCAGTCTAACAATGTTGCAAGTCTACATTCTCAAAACTTTCCCTCTCAGTAATGTATCTCAGTGCTGCAAGTCTTAGGGACTTAGCTGTAAAATAATGTAAAGCAGCTGAAGTTAGCGATTTTAATCTTGACTTTTATAGCGCTGGGCAATATGGCAAAATAATATGACATTATAATCTCCTCCACCATGGAGATTATGTTTTAACTGTGTCTGTAAATTAGCAGGATTAAGCAGGAACTGCTGGATGGATAACCATAAAACTTGTTGAGCAGATGCTGTATGGGTCAGGAAAGAACCCATAAAAGTTTGGATTGGTGAGGATTCAAATAAATGGATGGATTTAGGAATTTTGTTGCACTTTCGATGTAGCTTTTCCCACAGAATTTATTAAATCTATGGTGGTAGTGAGGGTACACATGCACTTGCGCTCTCATGCGCAAATTCCAAGCGACAGGTACATTGACTCATGTGAGACAGAACTATATTGCATTCCACTATCGAGTACGTGCACAACTTCAAACTATGAGGTTTGACTGTTTGCGTGGATGGTAAAAACTTTATAGGTGATAGCAAGAGCCGACTAAATAGCACTGCACACAGATATAAAATGCAGCAACTGAACAAAACACCAAGTTATAGAGCTCTAATGTTTATTATGAGAAGTGTTAAAACATGATAAAACTGTGGCAGGACAAATTAGAATATGGCTGGGCACCAGTCTAGATAAATAATGGGGAAACTGCTTTGACATGGCGAGATAGAGCATTAGCCTTAGCTGAGGTATGCACTCTCAGAGCACTCTTGTAGTTTCTATTAGGACTGATTTTGCCTTTGAGTGAAGGTTGTGGTTTTAAACTCTTCAGAGAATAACAAACATGTTAAACAGTATTGAATTGAAGAATCCAGACTGATTACAAAGTTGAAAGTTAAAATCCGACCAGGGACATTTGCCATATGCCATCCCTTCTCTCAATTTCTCCTTCTTTCCATAACTGTCAAAGGATTCCTTACATATAATCCCACACACACATGACATCATCTAGTATGCAGCAAAGCAAGCTATTACAAGCTACAACCTGCAAAATTCCTGAATCAAATGAGAAACAGTCTCAAAAGAAATCACACAGAGATATAAAACCTTGAAATCAACATTGTGCAAAAACGGCAAAACTGAAACAAAACCACAAGACAACTGCAATGAATATTAGCATTTTCCCACTGGAATGATTCAAGGAAAAGAAATAGAAGATATATATATATATATATACAGCCAAAATATCTTAAAAGGTGAGTTTGACAGCTTCAAAGCCACATACAGCAACAATATTTTTTATCAACCATATAACTTCTATATTTCATTGAAGTATAATAATAGGATACTGATATTTGTGAAAGCTAGTCGACTATCTAGAAAAGATTCTTCATTCCGTTAAAAACATTTTTTGATTAAGGTCAAACATTCAACAATTATTTGCATGAAAACATCGTGCATGTCATCCTTAGAGTTTCTTGAAGCTTCAGTGGATATTTCAACCCAATTCAGAGAAAAAATAGTCATCGGTGAGAAATACAAATCACCAGAAATAATGAAATTTGGCTTCATGATGCATAACATTTTGATTGCCCCTTGGCTGCAGTATAGGATATAAGCCCCATCTCC